CGGCACATTAAGACTATTTTACTTAATTAACACAACATGTAAATTACACTACTTGGGTGGGTTGGGGGAGACAGGAAGAACTGGTTAGCTTCTCATTAATTTGTTCTAGAGATATTTGCTCTCTTAACTACTCATTTCCCCATCTTCACCTCTGTAACCAACAGTAGCTGAGACAACCGAAAATACAGTTTGCTACTTTGTCATTTCATTCATTTCAAAAGGTTGGATCTGTAACAAAGTATTCAAATACTGGCTAAAATAAGGTCAGTCACAATCATGCCAATTTATATTCCCTAGTCAATTTACATTCTGATTTTTCATAATTGTGGTATATCAAGAGAAATGTTTCCTTGACAGAATATTAATGAATAATCCTCAAACTACAAAGAGTGTTCGATAACTGTTGTATTTTAGTAGAAACAGTATTAAATTTTCAGATTGATCAGATCCAGACATTTTAAATCGTATAATCCCTCAATCTTAGCAGAGTGCATTCTTTTATTTGCGAGGAGACATTTGTCTATTCCTAACCTTTTTACCTTCGGAAAGCAAATGATGCATGTGACTCAAAAATTGAATTAATCTTGACTGAAAAAGAAATAAAAATAGCTAATGTCTTTATGATTTCCATAGCAAGCCTACAGGGCAGATAGTGTTGCTGTTTCTCTTTTGTAAGATGCATTCTATCTTGCTAATACTCAATAAATATGGGAAACCGATCATTTCACAGCTCAGAATTGACAAACTGGAGCACATTTGTCATTTGAATAGACGAGATAAGCAGGTTGCCACCAGCTCTGCCGTCTCTGCCTTCAGGTGTGTTGTGTCCTGGGCAGACACTGTTAGTTCATTCTCAGGTCACTGCTAGCACATTTCTATTGGTCTCTTTCCGGACCAGGTCTCAGATTCACATTCCAAAAAGCCTCCTGTCTTAAGGACCATTCTGCTATCTTCTGTAATTTAAAGAAACGGGCACCTCCAATGAAACCATTCCAGGTGTAAATCTCTTGCCTGGGGAGCGAATTGAGAAATGAATGGGATTCATGAATATAAATTGGGCTTTCTTTACACGTAAGTTTTCATTTTGCAATTGTAGAGCATTTTCCGCTCCGCAGAAATCTTTATGTGCCCTAAGTGTGGTTACCACAGGAACCCCAGTGCAGAGCTGCTGTTACTGAGTATTTACATTCACAGGTCATGAGGCAGAGGAGGCCTGGGGAGGGAGCCACTGCAGTGCACTGCATCAGTCCTCTCAGCAAAGATGCATCTCACCCTCAGGTCTGTGCCTGTCCTGGGATGAGGCCACACAGCCTCCTTAGGCTTTTTCTCTCCTTGAATATTATTTGACATGTCCTTCCTCGTCCTATCAAGACATTCTGTTTCTGTATGTCTAAACAGCTCTATTATCATAAGACTTATATCCCTTCACCCCAATTTTGGTTTAGAGCTGGTGCAATAAATGAATCTCTCAAAGGCCACCTCAGTTTAGTTTTGAACATTTTGAAGAAGACTCTGTGGGAGGCTGGAAGGATTCAGTAAGCAAATACATAAATAATCTCTAGAAGCAAGGCCACTGCACCTCTCCCTGCCCCCCCTCGCCTCCATGTCTCCCCCCTTTCTGTTCCCATCTTAGTTACATGTGTCCTGCAAAAGGTCCACTGAGACCAACAGGGCTTTCACTCTGTGACCAGATATAAGTGAGAATTTTAAAAGACATTCCTCACTTTTTCAACCTGTGCTTTGAATCTTCAGCCAGAAATAAGGCTCTATTATATTTACCATTACGTAGACTACAAAGTGTGTTCACACATTGCCTATTCTTTGCTGTGGAATTAGATGGTGAGGAAGACTGTTGGTGATGAATTGTTTACATTCGTACCAAGTTGTTTTCTTGCATGTGTAACAGTTCTTGCTAGCATGAGTTTGATATGGCTAGGAATAATGTCGTAGTAAAAGTAAAATAGCAACAGAATTTTTCAGGACCAATAGATACATGAATTAGAGTGGAATCTCTAGATAATGGAAATAATAGAAAACAATTGTTTGCAATGACAAGCATTCCTCAGCGATGCTGTGGGTTCACTTCCAGACCACTGCAATGAAGTGAATATCGCGATAAAGCGAGTCAAATGAATTTTTTGGCTTTCCAGTGCATATATGTTTACACTATACTGTAGTCTATTAAGTATAGCATAGAATCATGTCTAATAATGCAATGTGTGTACTTTAATTAAAAAATACTTATTGACGGGGTGCCTGGATGGCTCAGTCGGTTGAGCATCTGACTCTTGATCTCAGCTCGGGTCTCAATATCAGGGTCGTGAGACGAGGCCCATGTTGGGCTCCATGGAGGGCATGGAGCCAATTTAAAAAAATACATATATATATATATTATATATGTTATACATATGTATATAATATATATACATATATAATATATATAGCTAATATATATATATTTTACATATATGTATACATATACATATATATGTATACATATATTATATATGTATACATATGTATATAATATATATATACATATATAATATATATATATAGCTAAAATATGTTAGCCATCATCTGAGCTTTCCATGACTTATAAACAGAGATCACAGATCACCATAACAAACAAAATAATAAAAACATTTGAAATGCTGTGAGAATTTCAAAATGTGACACAGAGACGAAGTGAGCAAATGCCCTTGGAAAAATGGTGCTGATAAACTCGTTTGAAGCAGGATTGCTGCAAACCTTCACTTTGTAAAAAATGCAGTATCTGCAAAGCACATTAAAGCAAAAGCAAAGCTCAATAAAACAAGGTATGTCTGCAATGTAAAATAATTTTCTCCCAAGTGCCTCTGTATACGAGGCATTCAGGGAGATAGTGAGGACCATGACATGGCCTTTGTCCCAATTTCTTGTTCCTGTCTGGTGGGTTTTCCTTATTGTATAACCTGCAAACCTTCTAAGTATGCAGCCCCCTGAGCTGATGCTCTTAGTCTTACATGGGCCTACAGAGCATGTCCAGGGAAGGCTTTGACTGTGTACCATGGACACAAAGTAGATGGAGGGGAGATGGTCATTATTCTTAATTATATTCTTAATATGTGGTGTCCTCACAAGAAGTTAAAATAACTCTGTAAGTTAAAACCACTATGGAACTGAAGTAGGGTGACTACTGTGAACACAAAACAATGGAATATGTAAAGAATATCAAAGGGTGATTTTCTAAATTCCACACTTGCCCAACCCAGTGGCAGGCACAGGTCAGGCCTCCCAGCTTGGCTTTTCCCCAGGCCTCCTCTCTTAGGTGTTCCATACAGACTGCACTATATTTCCATCTAGTTTGGCCAACGGAGCTGATCTCCTAACTCAGTGACTCTTTGCAAGCCATTTTCTCCACGATATTTCTAAGATGAGTACATGTAATTTTATGTATGCCAAAGGATAGCAAGATATTTTCCTCTGCAAAGATTATAATATAATTTTACCTGTCCTCGATATAAAGTTAAAACTGTCACATGCACTCAAAACACAGGTTATTTATTAAGAATTGAGGGGCACCTGGGTGGCTCAGTCAGTTAAACATCTGACTCTTGGTTTCCAGTCAGGTCATGATCTCGCCATGGTGAGATCGAGCCCTGTGTTGGGCTCTATGCTCAGTGCAGAGTCTGCTTCAGATTCTCTCTCTCTCGTCCTTTCCCTCCTGCTCACATTCTCTCTCTCTCAAATAAATAAAAATCTTAAAAAAAAAATGAATGCATATTGAATAGGAATTTTTTTACCCTTTGTTTAAATTTTCAAAATCTGGTTGTAAAACATATTTCAGTGTTTGTGTTAAAAAAAAACCCTAGGATTTTAGGGGTGCCTGGGTGGCTTAGTCAGCTAAGCCTCTGCCTTTGGCTCAGGTCATGATTCCACGGTCCTGGGATCGTGCTCTCTCTCTCTTGCTCAAATAAATAAATAAAATCTTTTTTAAAAATCTAGGATTTTAAAGATTTTCTCTCAGAGAATTGTATTAACACAGCAGTTCTACTTTCTCTCAAGTAGTCAGTATGGTTAGTAATATGAGCTCTGGAAGGACTTCTTTCATATCATGAAGTCAATCTGTTTCATTTTTCTACCACTACATCATTTTCACCTAAATCATTACCTTCTTCCCAGAATTTATAAGACTAGTGCACTTCCTTTAAGAATGCATTTTAAACCACTTGTGGTGGGGATTAAAATAATTGCAACAAATAAATTATGATCCACTTAAAAAAAAAAAAAAAGAAACCAAAGCAACTGACCCACTCAGAAGGACACAGTGTATAAAAATTTTTTAAGTGCTGTATTCTGTATTATCTATTGTATGTACATGGTCACTTATTAGAGTGCTTTACCAGAATGTTCTCCTGGGAGCTAGTGTTGAAACAGAATAAAAGCATGCCATATTTTTCTCTTGTTGCTGCCTTTTGTCTAAGGCAATGGACATTGAATTAGTAAGGGTAGTGAATCATTTTATTCACTAAAACGTGGAAAATAGAAAGTTATTAGGCAGTTTGATGATCTCTGGGTGAAACGAGTTTGTGCAGAAAGGTGAGATAGTAAGAGAATGAGTCAATTTAATTAGAAAAAAAAACTTGATAATTTGTGAATACTCCAAATATCCTTGAAACAAAGCAAACAACAAATCATGAGAAGTGTAATTTATAGCTATCAAATGCCAATAGAGGTTACCATGTTTGTGCCGTAAAAAAAATCTACAGTTGTCACAACGTGCTCATTGGACCATTCTGCATGAGATGCAAATATCAGCGAATTTTTTGGCTTCCTACTCTTGTCCACTCTTAGAGCAAAAAACCACATTTTTGGGAAATAAGCATTTGGGTAACACATTGCCAACAGGGAGATCGAGATGTCTGAAGGCTGCCTTGTGAACAAGTGCTTGTACCCCATGAGATATTGCTTGTGCTCTTCCTGGGGCAACCAGTTCAAAAGGTGGTTTTTCTTTTCAGGTTACCAGCCAGTCTTGTCTGGCCAACAGGGGTTCCAAGGCCTCATAGGAGTGCAGCAGGCACCCCAGAGTCAGAGCGTGATGAGCAACCAACCAGGAGCTCCGGTGCAAAGTGTGATGGTCTCCTACCCAACAATGTCTTCTTATCAGGTGCACATCAGCAGCTTGGAAAATTGTGGTTTAGAAAGTAGCACTGGCCAAAGTAGAGGCTATGGGTATGTCCCGTGTTGGGTGGATAGCAGGGTGGGGATGCTATGCCTAGCCCCTGTTGATTGTTGACTTTGAATTAAGATTATAAGTAGAAAATGGGATGGGTATGCTTCCCTAACTACTGTGGCTTTTGAATGTCCTGCTAAATGTGGTTCTATATAAACTTCTATTCATGGAAGAAAAGTCTGCAGCCTATAACGTTTTAGTCATGAAGACCTTTGGCTGTTCCGTTGTAATTTGGCTTATTGGGAAAAAGCCCTCATGACAAATTTCCACTCATTTTTGTACACAGCCCCCCAAATTTCATTTTACCACAATTTTAAGTTAAAAGAGGTGTTCAAATGGCATCTCAGATTTTTCAAAAGGCATGGATAAGGTCTATACCAACCTCATTTTCTAGACTCAACCCATACTGGGTATTTTAAAAATGTCATGCATCCTTTTGTGATTTACATCCTGAGATACCCTGAAAGTGGAAGTGAAGGGTTAGTGAAATGCTTTGACCATTAAATTTAGCTGCACCAGCTACTTCTGGCCCTCAAACAAAGAAACAAACAAAACAAAACAAAATAAAAACCCTATCCTCCGTCCTCCTCCTCTGACAATCCTGACTCACATTGTCTCAGTTTAACCTCTGGCTCCATATTGGATGTTCTTTAAAGCTGCAGGTTGAGAGTGAGGCAGGTGCCTGGGACAAAAGCCCCTTTTGCTGTCTGGCTCCAGGCCACTTTGTGTGCATGAAACCAGAATGGGAGTGTCGCTTTCCAAACAGAAATTCCAAGCAAGTAATCCAAACTGCAGCCCCCAGCGGGTAAGGAGGGAGGAAAGAAGGAAGTTTTGAGCTAACTCCTTCTGAGCCATCACCACACATATCCCAGCACCGTACATCAGCCTTACAATCTTTTCGGTGGCACTTTGCATGGGTGTCATTATGCAGATGGCCGAGGCAATCAGCGAGGTTGAGGGACTTGCCCAAGGTAAAACAGCTGATAAAAGGTAGCGCTGGGATGGGTGACCAGTTAGGTGTTACCCAAACGCTTGAGTATTTTTCCTGACCGCATGGTAGCTCACGGGACAGGCAAACTCAACCTCTTCATGAAGGGCTCTCTCTTGTGTCTTCTACAGGTGCCAATGACCCAGGGTTCTCAAGGACTGCCCCAGCAGTCATACCAACAGCCAATCATGCTACCTAACCAGGCAGGTCAAGGGTCACTCTCAGCCACTGGAATGCCTGTTTACTGTAATGTCACACCGCCGACCCCTCAGAACAACCTTAGGTTGATCGGTCCACACTGCCCCTCCAGCACTGTCCCCGTGATGTCGGCTAGCTGCAGGACAAACTGTGCAACTATGAGCAACACCGGGTGGCAGATCAAATTCTGAGTGCTCTGGCTGTGCTGCATTTTTGCGACCTTACTCATGGCCTTTAAGGGAAGAGGAGCGAGGTGGGAGACTGGCTGAGGACTCAAGTATTCACTCAACACTCAGATGATTGCTGCTGGTATTCTGTAAAAAAACAAACAAAAAACAAAGACTAATACAAACATTAGCTGGTTAATGGTGCATATTTCCGTCATGTCTGCTAGGTATGCCTTTATAGCTTAGCTAGTGACATGAATTCATCAAGGTAAGATTTTCTCCTACCACTGAATACCACTGTGTAGATTATAATATCCCTAATTTGGATTATTAGTTTTGTACTTTGTGTTGAGTTTGTGATGCTAAAAGTATTTAAAAATGATATACTGAAATCACATTGTACCAAAGCTGTAATGGAAAAGAAAAGAATTGATGAATGGAAGGAATAATTTATATACACTATAGAGTTTTCTTTTTTAATGGATATATACTGTATTGTAGTGTTTAATCAAAATAAAACTATTTGACCTTATGGAGGAAGGTCATGTTTTTACCACCAGTTTGGTTCACTCTCTCTTCCAATATGTGTTTGCTTATGTGTCACTGTTATCCCCTTTGAACACTATTTCATGAGTAATGTTCCAGATATTTGTAAATCTGGCATCACGTTGGGAGAGGTGGTAGGCAAACAATTAACCAACTGTAGTTTCTTGTCCTAATACTACAGGGGTCCTGGGAATAAGATGGCTTCCATTTCCAATATTCTTGACTTCACATTTTTGAAATTTATATCTTGATTTTAGTTCTAGGGGTATTGAATACATGTAGCTCGGAAAGTCGGAAAACCTGAGTGACTTATAATAGCAGCCCTACACCAAACTCTGTTCTGTCTTCTTTGAAATTCCACCATCTACCTGAAAAACAAGATTTCTTTGTTTAGAGGGAAATTGGAAGGGCATGATCTAATTCTATCGAATATATTGGGTCATATGCAATGTAAATAAAGTGCCACTAGTTTTGGGTCAATAACTCCAAGGTGCTAACATTTATCCTGGCAACTGAAAGGAAGGTAAAATATAACAACAATTTAGTCACAAAGACTTAGAACATTGGGGAAGAAAAGAAACATTTAGAAGAAGCCGATCCTGTTTAATCCTAAAATGTTTATCTAATCCCCTGTAGATTCTGCAGGTAAAATTGTTTTATGACAACCTTTGAAAAATAATAACAGAACTCCAAATATCAGCTTTGGCCATTCTGAGAGGTATTTAATGGGGGACTATAACACCACAGCTTCCCCTTTGCTATCACAGTACAATGACTAATAGTTTTCTCTTTTATACTCTCTGTCTAAAAACCATTATTACCAATGAGAGGGATTTGGAGAGTATATCTTGATAATTTCCACTGTTCTTCCTATTATCACATTCCCCCATATTAGATCTTTCCATTTTCGTGTTGCTTAGTTGGAGATAGCATGAAGCTACTAGTTAAAAACTCTACCTAGGATTACCATTTCTTAAGTTTATACTCTCATTTTCTTTTTCCTTTAAAAGGGAACTTTTACACATGCTCTCATTAGCTTCATTCCTTGAGACATCTGTCCCATTGTCCCAAATCTCAGTCTCCTGAATTCTTCATTGTAAATAAGCCCTACCCATGAAAAAGATGTTATAAAAAGAATGTTCCATTTTTTTTTTATTGAGCCATTAAACCAACAGGCTGAGTAGCTATTAAACCAATAGCTGTTCTGAGAAGAAGCAATGTGTTTGCCTAATTAATACCTTCCCCTAATGGAAGGAGGGGGCTGACCAATAGAGATCACTTTAGAAATATAGCCTCCATTTAGTTCTCTCATGTTGGCAGTGATCCCAAACGCAGGGATCCAAATATGAGTCTGAATGTTTATCTTCTTTTCACAGAATTCTGAGAAATTTTTATCTTTTCTTTAATGATTTCTAGCATGACTCAGCCCTCTTTATCTGAAATATTAATCACGGTTATGGAAAAGACAGGCCTTCTCTGTCTTTGGCCCCCATCCTGCAAACGTGCCGTACTCTTTCCCACTTAGACATTTGACTTTTCCTGCATAAAGCAATTTGGATACTGTTTCAGACTGAGCCTTGTCTACTTTCACTAAATATTGATACCCAACATTATTTATTCCAGATCTTACATTATGCTGTCTTTTACATTAGAATATTTGAGATGGCTGCATAGAGAGATGGCTTTATCAAAGTGAAGAATTTCCAGGATTTAATTTATCATCATAACACTCCGTTTTTTTCATGTTGGCTAATAATTTTATCACAATCACATTTTGTAATTACATATTATTCAGTACATAAGCTTATATAGAGAGACATGAATACATATATATGTAACTATATAGATATATAGATACAGTCATCCCTACTGATCCTCTATGTGAGCGTAAATGAGAACAAGAGTGACTTATGCATTCATTTATTCAGCAAACTTTTATTGCATACTTGATTATATCCTAATTACCTGGCACCATTCCAAATGAGTACAAATAAATTTAAAGCACTTAGACTTATTTTTGTAAGTTTTATCATACACTTAGTTATTCTGCGATAGTTGGAACTAAATGTTCTAACCAGGATGCCAATGAATTTCAGCCATAATTATTTTATTGTTTAAATATAGTTTCACAGGATGTGGGGTGGGATAGGAGAGCATGTTATGTAACATTAAGGAAGTGGAATTATGTAATTAATTATAAGTATGGTTGGAAGATTTAAAATAAAGTTATAAATCATCATAACAAAAATAAGTAGGATACACATGAGCCAGAGCAGCTTTATAAGAGAGATCCGAAGTACAAAGCAAAAACAATCAGGGAAGGAAGAACATTGCAGCAGAAATGGCTTTGAGGTCTAATAAATGCACTTTCAGTCTCCCTTTCCACTCTGGCCAACAGCTAGAGTGTGGTGGGATGTTTTCAACCCCCATGGTCTGCTACCTGTATTCTGTGCACACAGGTCCGCACTGTTCACTGCGGACCCACCCCTTACCTTACAAGTACCTGGCGCTTGTCATCGCAGTGACTTGATCAGTTACAGACCAGAAAGAAAGCATTATAAATATCTCACCCCAAGGGCAGAGTTAAAACAAATAGCCTGGGTTTTGGTCCCAAGTAATACCTTAGAAGAGTAGTTTCTAAAATATTTTCTGTGGTAGACCCTTTCCTTGGGATACAGATAGTTGTTATCTGAAAAAGACTGTTCCAAGGATAATAATGTTGGGAAACAAGGTTAATGAAGGTTAAGCAATCTTTGTAAAGATTCTGATTTCTGGAAACCTTTAATATAGCACTTTAGATTGTGAATTTCTAAACGGGCGTCATAATTTACAGTTTCTCAAACTTAGTCGAGCACAATATCTTTTCTTCACAGACTGTATCAAAAGATTAATATTATGAGGAACTTATATTTTAAAACATTACATTAAAGACTCCTAAAAAAAGAATACAAATATAGTTCTTTTATCTCCATAGAAACTACATTATATATCAACATGTAATATCACAACCCTCCTTCCAGCTATGACATCTTTTGGTAACTACCCTAGTGTGCACACTTTCCTCTGTGAGTGTGTGAGTCTAGAAGGTAATGCCATATCACCAATATTTCTGGGCTTTCTTTTTTTAAATTCTTAATGTTGAAAGAATTTATATCTAAAATTATTATACGGACGCCTGGGTGGCTCAGTCGGTTAAGCATCTGCCTTTGGCTCAGGTCATGATCCCAGGGTCCTGAGATCGAGTCCTGCATCAGGCTCCTTGCTTGGCGGAGAGCCTGCTTCTCCCTCTACCAGCTTTGCCTGCCACTCCCCCTGCTTGTGCTCTCTCTCTCTGACAAAAAAATAAGTAAAATCTTTTTAAAAAAAAAAAGAGAGAAAAAGAAAATTATTAAAGTAATAGTCATATAGATATATAGATGAAGTTATCTCTAATTATCCTGCACACCTCTCTATGAGTATAAAAGAGAACAAGAGTGATTTATGCATTTTACTGTGTATTTACTAATTTCCATACTTCGTGCCAGTCTCTGGAGCCCCTGCCTTTATGAAGTTTATAAGTTTTCAGAATAAATTATACCAGTGTACAAATGACTAAAAATATAGGAAATTAGTCACAGGCCTCATATGAAAAACACACGTAAAAACAAGATCTTAGAGAAGGAGTAGATGGCTCCTGGCTGTGGTTTTATGAGGCTTTTGGCCCGGGCCATTCTGGTTAGATGGAATTTGGGCATGCAGACATGAGGTGAGGGAGTCACAACCCCAACCGAGAGAAACGCATGAAAACAAAAGAAAGAAACCCAGGAACCCCTGGACATTCCCATTCAGGTTGGTTGAAGTGGGAAGTAGCTAGATAGAGGAACATGACAGGAGGAGTACTTCGAGGTTCACGGTGGGCCTGGTTGGCAGGACCTCAACAGCCAGGCAGCATTAACAGGCCCCCAGGGACTTCTGAAGCGTTTTGAATCAAAGGTGATATGATCCAGCCATGGTTCCTAAAGAAGCATGGGCCTTGAAAAGTAGAACGGGTTAGACTTGAGAAGGCTCTTCATTCAGAAAGTGGAGATGAATAAAATTATAGTTAAGCGTTGTCATTGAGCTACAGGGACCAGCAGCCTAGTTGGGAGAAATCAGAAATGAATCCTGGTTCTCAACCCTTAGCAATTGTGTTGCATGCACAGCCAAGTTTCATAGTGGTATAGGGTCTTGTTTTTCCCTCTTGGATGGAAATGTGTGCATGTAAGTGCCCTGTCTTAAGTTGCATCACATGGCACAGTTACTACACCCTGTCCAGGTGAAAGAAATGAAGTCTGAGTTGAGACTGGAGACAGCATGGGAAGGGCTGGCTGCTAAGTATTCATTATCTGTACGAGATACACAGTGAAATCTGATATCAATTTCTTATACCCCCTTGTTTCAATACATGGTGAGAACCCTTTTCCATTAGAGCTCAGAAAAAATAATGTGTTTTTGGGGCACCTGGGTGGCTCAGTTGGTTAGGCGTCTGCCTTCATTCAGCTCGGGTCATGATCCCAGGGTCCTGGGATCGAGCCCTGCATGGAGGGGGGTCCTCTGCATAGCAGGGAGCCTGCTTCTCCCTCTCCCTCTGCCTGCTGCTCTGCCTACTTGTGTACTCTCTCTCTCTGTGTGTATCAAATAAATAAATAAATAATCTTTGCAAAAAATGTGTTTTCTGTACCCTTATGGGTGACACTTCTTCTACATAAGACCAGACATTTTAGCTTCTTTCCATATTATTTTACCCCAAACTCTCTTTTCTAAGGAAGTTGTTCTCATTAGGGCTTTGAGATTATTTTCCAATAGTTCTCAGCTTTAGTGCTCGTTTCAAGTTCAAATCTTTATCATCCACTTTCTGAGGAGTTTTGCAGCCTCCAATCTTCTCTACAGAAAGATTTGCTGCTATTATATGCCACCAGGGGCACGAGCAGCTCACTCTGATCTTGTTTTCTGCTGCTTCAGCATTGCGGACACAGTGGGGGTGGCAGG